ATTAAATGACTACTTTCTCCAGTCACCAGACAGATAACAAGTAGTTTAAATAAACAAGTTATGCACAATGGCAGGAATTTTGATGTCATAACTTATTTAATCAAATGTTTTCATATTAAAACTCCACAACCCCCCCCCAAAAAAACCATTTCTAGTTTATAATATTAAATGTCAGAAGGTTTCAGTGAAATGCTGATTACTTGCAGATGCCCACGCAAGTTATCCTGATTTTATGGGAATAAGTAAAAGTTAGACACCGATGGGATGTAGTTCTGGTGGTGACTCAGTTTCATCAAAAGTCAAATGAAAAGGCTAAATGGGCTAACTGGTCTTTTGTATTCCTTCCACCTCTGAGATTAGCCCTCAACTACTACCTTTAATGTGTTCTTTTAAAAAATTATTGATATATTTTATTTTGACCCAACAGATACTTCTCAGCAAATGCTCAAACACATACCCCTACATAGCAATCCTTGAAAAGTTAGCCTACTGATTGACATTGCGGTATTAACCCTGAATGTTAGATTTGACCAGAGTTGGTTGACTCCCAAAGCTGACTTTATTTACATCACTGTGGTCACTGTGTATATTTTTCCCAAAAGACTATTTGATTAGGAACACATTCCAAATATATATTATTATATGATATATTTTACATATAACTGTAAGATGTATATTTTATGTGTAAGTTATATATTTTAGATATGCACATCTAAAACATAGATTAAAATATGAGATAGATATTTTTAGAGAAAAAGAAAGCTAGAAAGAGACTGCAAATCATAAGGATTTATGGGAGAGATAAGGATGAGTAGCAAAACAGTGTAGAGGGACAGACTGTTATGCTTAGAATTAGGAAGACAGGGTTTCACATTTTGCCTTTGACCCTTACTGAGTGTCCTTGAGCTACTCACTTCTCTTAACCTCTCTCAGTTTCCTCATCTGCAAAATGGGAAGGGTAAGATCTCACAGAGTTGTTGTGAGGTTCATATCAGGCAATGCACGTAAAGTACTCTGCAAACTTGAAAGCACCGTATGTCAGCTATTATCAAGAAGTGCTAATGATTAATAAAATTACCAGCAAGTTCAACATGTAGGAAGGTTCTATTTAAGGAAATGGTAAGATTCACAATATCAGTAATAAAAGTATTTAATATAGCCAGACTCCCTGAGGAATTAAGGATTCAGTGAGGTTTTTGGTTATACTTTCTACTAACATTTTTAAGCTATTTTTAAACTTAAGAAACCTATTTTTAATAAAGCATTAAAGCCAAAGCTATATTTACCTTGATACTCTTGTAATTATGTAGACCTGGGCTATTGAACATTTAGCTATGGTGCCCTAAAAAAAGTAGGTATATGTTGTCTTCTGTTTCCCAAACCAGGCAATATTCTATTCTTTTTTTTGAAATATATCACCATGTACACAAGATGTTTGAGAAGGCTTTCCTTCAAAATGGTGCCTGCTAGCATATGGCTGAGCCACTCAGTGATATCTGAAAGACCACGGGAAATAGAAGAGGGAGAACACAAAATGGGAGAAGGGCAAATGTTCTGATTTTTTTTAAAAAAGAGAAGAGGACGGTTTGTAAACTACAGGCCAGAGAACATGAGTTGGACTCTTGAGGATTACCAAACAGATCATTAAACACTAGGCTGGCAAACATCTAGATAGAGAAGTGGTGATTACAAAGAGCCAGCCTAGCTGAATCAAGAGCAGTGATGTCAGACTAACCTCATTTCCTTTTTTTTCCAGGATTACTAAACTGCTAAATGAGGGGGAATGCATTGGACCGGGGTGGGGAGCTTGTGGCCTCTAGGCCACATGTGGCCCTCTAGGTCCTCAGGCTCGGCCCTTGGACTGAATCCAAACTTTACAGAACAAATCCCCCTAATAAAAGGATTTGTTCTGTAGAACTTGGACTCAGTCCAAAGGCTACACTGGAGGACTTAGAAGGCCACATGTGGCCTCAAGGCTGCAGGTTCCCCACCCCACAGACTTCAGCAAAGCTTTTGATCAAAGTATCTCATACTATTGTGGAGAAGATGGTGAGAAATGGATTCAATCACAATGCAATCAGATGGATTCAAAACCAGCTAGACGATCGGATTCAGAGAAGAGTTCAATGTCACTGTAGCAGGAGGTCTCCAGTGGAGGGCCCTAGGGATCTATGCTTGGCCCTATATTGTTTAGCATTTTTTATCAATCAGAGAAGATATGTTCATCAAATTGGCAAATGATACCAAGCTGGATGGGGGGGGGGGATAGTTAACACACAGGATGACAGAATCAAGATCTAAAATGTTCTTGACATTGATAATAAGATGAAATTCAACAGGGATAAATGTAAAGTCTTTCTGAAGAAGATCTAGGCGATATTGTGGACTACAAACTTAATATGGGTCAACAATGTGATGTAGATGCCAAAAAATTAAAGGAGTCTTGGGCTACAAGAGGAAAGGCATAACTTTCCAGGAAGGAGGTAATAATCCTACTGTTCCCTGCCCTCACCAGACTTCATCTGGAGTGTTAACAGTGCTTCGCTGTGGACCCCACAGCTGAAGGACATTGATAAGTCATACAGCATACAGAGAAGGACGAGGATGGTGAAGAACTCTGACTCCACATCACATAAAGGTAAACTGAGGGAACTGGGAGTATTTAGCTCGGAGACAGGCCAGCTGTCTTCAGTATTTGAGGGGCAATCATGTGTAAGAAGCACTGAGTTTGTTTTCCATGTGGTCCAGAGTCAAAGCAGGAGAAGGGAGAGGAAGGTGCAGGAGAAGCTTCCTAACAATTAGCGCTTTCCCAAAGTGCAGTGGGTTTCCCTTCCTTGGAAATCTTCGAGCCGAGGCTGGATGACCACGTGTCCAGAGGGTCATACTGGGGTTTGCTTCTGTGCATTGGTTAGTTGTATTGGATGGTCCCTGAGGTCTCTTTAAATCCAAATTCCATGACTCTGTGATGACACATATTTAGTAGATGTACATAACCAAAGAGACGACTTCTGTCAATGCTCCTCTGATGATCAATATCAAGTATGGCACCAAATGGGAAAATATGCCAGCCACAAGTGTTTGCCATTGGATGATCTTCCCAGAGCACAAGGGGGAGAGAGATTCCTCCTATATTGTGGGCATCCCTCCAAATACCCCTGTTTGAGATGACATCATGTTGATTTTCATCACCTCTGATAGTAAGGCAGGGCCTTCTCCATAAACGACTCAAAACAACTCAGAAGAGTCTGGTCTATTGGGGCAGAGCTAGGTGGCGCAGTGGATAGAGCACCGGCCCTGGAGTCAGGAGGACCCGCCTCAGACACTTGACACTTACTAGCCATGGGACCTTGGGCAAGTCACTTTAACCCCATTGCCTAGCAAAAAAAAAAAAAAAAAAAAAGAAGAAGAATCTAGCCTATTAATCCACAGAACAAAAACCAGATGGGATGGATGATGAATGCCTATGGTTGAGAATATCTCATGTATTTGGATAAGCAGACCATTAAGTTAGCATATTAGTACACATATCCTAGAAAGGCATTGCATTTGAGTGGGCCTAACATCTGAGAAGAAAAAATAATCAAGCTAGATTATATTGGGAAAAGTGCTCCATTTTTTTTTTCAATCACCTCAAGTGGTTCCCTTGAAGATGAAAAACCATTTTCTTACATGAGTGTTTTCCTAGTGATGTTAGAGGGCTACAAATCATAAAATACCATTATAGCCAAAGAATCAAAATCTAGGTAGATCAGAAGGCAAAAGAGGGAAGATAGGTGGGCATAAATCTGCTGCAACTTATTACCAAGGTTGACTGCATGCAATCAATGGTCTAAAAGTCATGAGTTATTATGGAGATATACCATCAGAAAAGGTGGGCCAGCCATGTCCTGAGAGGGAGAGGCCCAGAGACCTGACCTGGGAACCCACTGGTGGAGGGCACTTCCAGGGGACAACTCCCTCTACCTGGGCAGGTCTGCACCTCTTCTTGGAGGGTTCCCTAGAGCACCGTCTTGGGTCACAGAGTCAATAGTGTTCAGAGCTAGGGCTTGACTCAGTCTTCCTGGCTCTGAAGCCAGCCCTCTCTCCACTACACCACAAACCAGGTAGCTTCACTGCTGCGCTGAAACTCGTGAAATGTTGAACAGTGGAAGAGCAGTGCGTTGGATGGACCCTCTGTGGAGGACTGGAATGGACAAGGAGTGCATGGACAAGAACAGCACAAGATGAGAAGGCATGGTCGAGTCATTATGTGAACTAGTGGAGGTCCCGCCCAAGCCAAGGAGAACACAGTTCCACCGACGTATTATTTTGAAACATAATACATTTGACTCTTCTTACCAGCAGCTGGGTGGTGCAGTAGATAGAGCCCCAGGCCTAGAGTCAGAAAGGCATGAGTTCAAATTTGGCCTCAGACACTTCCTATCTATGTGACTCTGTGCAAGTCACTTAACTTCATTTGCCTCAGTTTCCTCATCTGTAAAATAAGCTGGAGAAGGAAATGGCAAACCACTCCAGAATCTCTCCAAAGAAAACCCAAAATGGGGTCACAAAGAGTCAGAGACATCTCAACAACAACAATATAGCACTTTAAAGTTTTTAAAGCACTTTACAAATATTATCTCATGTTATCCTTACTCTGGGAGATAGATGCTATTATTATCTTCATTTTTAGGGGTGGGGTTAGGCAATGGGGTTAAGTGACTTGCGCAGGGTCACACAGCTAATAAGTTATTATGTATCTGAGGCCGGATTTGAACTCAGATCCTCCTGAATCCAGGGCCAGTGCTCTAACCACTGCGCCACCTAGCTGCCCCGATATTACCCTCATTTTACAGGTAAAATGCCCAGGGCCACAGAGCTACTAAGTATCTGAGCTGGACTGGAATTCAGGTCTTCCTCACTCAGGATCTAATGCCGCATCTACCACGCAACCAATCTGCCTTGTCAAAGCTGTATTTAATGAAAAAGAACAGGCTCCAAGTATCATTCCTATACCTTACCATGAAGATTCACGTCGTCCAAGAAGTCTTCATAGCTCTCTTTAGTTACTCCAGGTCTGTTCATACGGTGGTCATTCCTCAGGGAGATCCTCCACCATCTAAAGATGACCTGTGAAGAGAGAGGTGGTGATACTGGACAAGAATCGCTGTTAGGGCTGACAGATTGAAATATAGGTTTCCAGCTGCATAAACTATTGTATTAACACTACATTACTACTGCGGTAACTTGAGTGGCCAACAACATATGAAAAGAGGAGGGAACTAGATAGATAGAGACCTGGCTTGTCCACCAGCTGACTGTTTCACCTTGGAAAAGTCACTGAATTTCTTAAGTCTACCGAGATCTATATATATTTAATAGTATCATACAAGATTCCTTCATGGATGCAACACTAAGTTAATTTTCTTGGACAATTTTCTGATTATCCATATTAAGTGCTAGGTAAACCAGGGCCACAGATGCCCAAGAAAAGTAATTGTCCCCATCATGGAGAACACAAAGTCAAAAAGAGACAGGTGGTGCAGAGCTCTGGGTGCTCCCAGTATAGATGGAATCGTGACACCCAATGTCTACAGAATGATGGGGTTGGACTAGAAGATCTCCCAGATCACTTTCAACTTTAATATTCTATGATTCCCAACCCTTCTTAATGCTAATGCCTTCCCTCTTTTAATTATCTTCTCTTTCTCCTGTCTATTGCTTGTTTGTCTACATTTGCTTGCTTGTTGGTAGACTGAGAGCTCCTTGAGGGCAGGTACACTCTTTTGCCTCTTTTGGTGGTCTTGGTAATGCCTGGCACACAGTAGGTGCTTAATAAATGTTTATTGATTGATGATTCTATTATCTTAAGTATGTATCAAATATCAGACATAGATAATAATACCAAATTTGATATGATGTCCAATCATGTGCTTGTACACATCTGTATTTTGCTTCAGGAGATCTGTGAAACTGCCTTAGCCTTGCCAGGCAGAGAGACAGAGCGATCAAAGGCAAAGGTTTAGCATATAAATCATAAAAACATTGTGGAAAAGGATGGCAAAAGATTATAGGCAATGTAGGATCATAAAATGGACTGAAAAACAAATTTAAAGAAAACTTGGTGAAAGATCCTTCTAAACAGAATCGTCTCCTCCAGGGCAGGGACTGACTTTTGTCTCCTTTTCTATTCCCAGCACTTAACCCCAGTTCCTGGCACTTAGTAGGTGCTTAATAAGTGTTTATTGATTGACCAATCCCAACAGCATTCATAGATGAAGTTGGAAGAACAAAAGAAATGTGGAAAATACCTGTAAAGACAGTGATACCACATTCAAGGCAGCCAACTAACTCTGTAGTGGACAGAGTCAGAGACCTGAATTCCAATTTGGCCTCAAATACTTACTAGCTGTGTGACCCTGGGCAAGTCACTTAATGTCTTTCACTCTGTTTCCTCATCTGTAAAATGGGGAAAATAATAGCATCTACCAAGGGCTGATATGAGGATAAAATGAAATAGCATATGTGGAATGTTTTGTAAACCTTAAAGCACTATATTAATAATAACAGTAATAAGATAAGAGGAAATTCCCTCTTCTAATGCAAATTAGCAACCATTCTGCAATTTATAATCTTAAAATATTGTACTGAAAGATTAAGAGACCCTCGCCCAGGGTCAAAAAGTCAGTTTGTCCCCAAGTCATACTAATTCTTTCATTTAGGGTTTTGCACTACTGAGTCAAATGCATTTCTTTTTTTACAGCTAACTAAAGATAGAGGGCACTATGACTCAGTGGGTGAGAGCTGGTCTTAAGAGTTAGTAATGACCTGAGCACAAACTGACTATTTGACCTTGGGAGAAGGCATCTCCTAGGCATATATCAGAATCATAGAAGATATCATGAAAGATATGATATAACTTCAACTACCCTCTGATTTTTAATATCAGGGGAAACACAGAGGAGATATAAACTCATCAAAGGTGTTTGCCATTGTCATGGCGAGGGTCCAACATACAGCGTGAGTCAAAGAGGGATTCCCTAAGAATGATGAGGTCCCACAGATGGTCCTGCTTCTGGATAACATTGTTCTAATTACATCAAGTCCAGTGTCTCCTAAATGAGATGCACAATCAATCAAAGTAACTTGGCTTATCAAACGCACAGAAAAGTCGAGTATGCTTAATACTCGAATATTTCTTACGTCGAAGAATGCCTATTCTCAAGACTATAATATAGATTTGGATGGACAATCTACAGTACTCTTCTATCCACATACAGGCACTGCAAGTCTTGACAATGGTGTCTTTGGAAGACTGCAGAGTACTATAAATGACTCTTGAGATTCTCCTTAAAACATCTTTTTGCTTTCTTTAAACATTAATACCCTTCCACTGACTCTGTATGGTTATAAGACATGAAATTACACAAGGGGTGGGAAGGATGGAATGAGAGATGTATGACCAGAAAACAAGGTGAGCTGAGTCCATGATAAGAGTGAGAGACAACCAATGTATAGCCCACGTGTCTGCCAATAATAAAGGCAATAACAGTCATCATTAATGTACCGTTCTACAACCTGGCACACCATAACGTTCTACTCCCTGGTGTTTTGTGGCAGTGAGTAGCCTGGGATGACTGAATAGTGCTTGGTCTTGATGTGGTCACCAAAGAGCCATCCACAAACTCGAGCATCCAGAGTTCCTCACCACCAGATCATCTTTCATTTTTACTTGACGTGACAGTGACAGATGCTGCCTTTCTTGAGCATACATAGCCCTGGTTTATATCTCACCTGATATGGATAATCAGAAAATTGTTCAACAAAATTAACTTTGCAGTCGTGTCAATTCAGGAAACTTGTATATTACTAATGTCTGTATGGAAGATGCCTTGCTGGAGAGCTTTCAGAGCTGAGTTTTGTTCTACTGAGTCAATTTTTTTGTCAATCAATAGGCAACAAATGAAGAGGTCTTATATTCTCTATGCCTTTCAATCAATAATGTGACTGAAACGATGCTAAGGAAAATCACTCATATTTTCATCAAGGTACCTTTTATATGTGTGTAAGCCATTCTCATAAAAATGTTATAAATGAGAAAGTAGGCACATAGTCATCACGTCCCCTCAGTGGTCTTTTGTTGGATAATACTGTCTATGATTTTTCCCCCCTCTTCCTCTCTCTGAGCTATCTCAAAAAATCAATTCTTGTGTTATCTTTAAAATCGTATCCAGTAGATATTTATATGTATACTTAGTCAAGTCCATCTACTCTTTCCAATTTTATCTTCTTAAGGACCACCCCTATTCTTATTGCTGTGCAGTGCAGGGGATTTCTAGGGGCTAAGAGGGGAAATGTCATCAGTGATGGCAGTAGTCAGGATATCTTCGGATATGCTACAAATCCAGGATATGCTACTTACCAGCTAAGAGACCTTAAAAATGACACCTGATCTTTCTAATCCTGTTTCCTCATCTGCAAAAAGGTCCTTTCAGGCTCTGACTTCCATAATCCTCATTTTAGAGAAAAGGAAACTCAGAACCAATGAAATGAAAACAATTTGTTGAAGGTTACATGGATGTTAAGTGGGAGAGGCAGAGAGTGTGAACCCAAGCCTGTCTCCAATACCAATGTGCCCTTTCTAGTTCTGTTTATTGGCATTTAGGGCCAAAATGTCATACATCCCAGACAATCTCGATTGTAATGGAACTACTTGACTATGCCTTTAAATTCAAATCACTCTGGCTCTCACTGATTGGCCAATAATAGGTCCCAGTCCAAGCCTCACTGACATGTTTGGGTTCTGATGGCTCAGAGTGCAAATAGCAATTGTTTCTGTTTCGGCCAGAAACCCTGAGGGTCTTCCCTCCCAGACTGATTCTTTGTGAAGGCAAACTAGGCCATCTTTCTTACCTAGCCTTTAACTACTGAATGGGTGTTGCCTCAGACAAACTGAAACCTGGGAAAGACCTTAGCTTAAAAAGGCCAAGGTCTCCCACTGCTTCCAGGGCCATGGCCAGTCTCCTGACCCATGTCTTGCCAGTGGACTCCTGGAGGAGAGAGTGAGGCTGATGACTTTGCACAGCCCTGCCTCACTTAAATCCAATTCACTCACAAGTCAAGACATCACCTTCCTGATGTCATTGGTCCTCTTGAAGATAAGGAAGCACTAACAACAATTATTTACATGTAGAGAACTCCCTTGAATCCAAACACTTCCAAGCACTTAATATAACAGAGCAGGAGACTGGGGAGGCAGCATTAGTATCAGTTTAAGGAAGGATTGAAAGTTTGAGTGGACACCACTATGGTCAGTTATTCAGATTGTTCAGGTCCAATGGGAAAGGAGGTTGACTTTCTAGCACCCTCACATATGCCTTCAGAGATGAAAGCAGAACTCCAAAGGTTACATGCCCTAGCCCAATCCAATGCCATGACTGAATCAAACCTCCTCAATGAAATGTCAATGAGTCAACAACTGCCTAAGATGGCAGTACTCCTTACTGTTGGCAAGTAGATGCCCTCAGTCATCTCAGCGGGCATGTTCACACATTGTATAAGTAAATCTATTCAGACTATGCATGGTCATACCCTTTATAAATGCATTTTCAGTTTGAAACCACTGAACTGGGCAGCTAGGTGGTACAATGGATAGGGTACCAGTCAGGAGGACCTGAGTTCAAATCCTGGGCAAGTCACATAACCCTGATTGCCTCCAAAAATAAACAAACAAGTAAATGAATAAATGAAAAATGAAACCTCTGCACTAAGATAATCTCTAAATTCCTTCTATGCCTGAAATTCTGTACTACTCTAACTTCACCTTGGTTTTCTAGGATAGAATTCTCTTGCAACGAAGGGCCCTTTTAAAGCAAAGTGGATCTTGTTCTCTAACACAGAATATAATATAACAGGACTGGAGAGAAGGAGAGAAAGAAGTTGGGGAAGAGAAGGCAGGTTGAGAATCTCGACCAGCATCCTAATGGTGTTCCTGAACCTTTACCACTTCTCTTCACCTGTCTGCCATTCTGGACTTCAAGGAAAGGACCAGGAAGGAAAGGATTGAAAGGAAAGGAAAGGAAAGGAGAGAAGGGGGGTGCACGAGGGCAAATTTCACCTGCTCAGGAGTG